GTCAGCTCCTGCCTGCTGCTGCCCTTGGTATGTTGAGTGACAGAGTAGCCATTAGCCTTCTCCCCTGCGTTTTCCCTGAGAGGCAGAATTCAGTTCCAGTACCTGTCAGGAAACCCCCTGATGTCATCTGTCCGTGCTTCTACCCCAGACTACAGCCCTGCACAAAACTTCCACTGCTCTCAGATCAACCGTGTCACACCTGCACCGTATCAAGCCGTGGACTCGGATCAGAGCTGAATGCTGGGTGGCACAAGGAAAGGTGACTGTAGCGATCCTAACTGAAAAACTATTGTACTTTGAGAAGTTAGCAATCCACGTAACAGTTCATGCGAGAAGGTGCAGGCCTGTGCTGTGCTGCACATACAGCTTGGCTGTCGGGCCTGCTTTGCGCTGCATGCATCCCTTGGTCTCAGCATAAAACTTAGCTAATGGTAACCATAAACTCAGCATAAACTTTGGCTAACCGTAAAGAAGGAGCCTGTAGGCAGCTCCCACTTGGCACTGGCAATTACACCAGCCGCGTGTCCTTGACTTCACATTCAAGCGAAGCTGGAGGGTCTCATGCAAACATCCTTGTAACTGACAGTACAAATGATGAATAGAACTATTTTCTTTTAAGAAAAGCAGCGTAAGAGCTCTAAAGACTGAGATGTCAATGGAACCTCTCCAGGGACGGGATCTGCACTGCATGCTGTGCCCTGATAAGAGGTCCCCCTGATTCTGCACAAGTCGGGGTCCCCGGATGTATGATTATCTGCACTACCCTCTTTTTCCTTCTAGCATTAGAAGGGAAAGTAAAGGGAAATGTCACCAATATGGAGTCTGAGTGCCTTTCTTACTGGGATCATAACTAACACTACCCAGGTGCATTACCGTTACAAACTGCAAAGAAGGGTTCGCAGCCTACTGTTTGGGATTCGGGGCTTACAGCTTATTGCCACCTGTTCAATAGAAAGGTCAAAATTCTTAAGTTGTAAAGCCTGAATCCAGAAGTGGTAAACTGCAAATCTTGGACCCAATTGGTCATCAGGAATTTAAAAATTCTGGATAAGGTTAGATTTTAAATTGTGCGCTGTGATTGGTAAATGACTGAACTGGAAATGCTGACTGATAAATACAGAGCCCCACAAAATAATGAACTGTAAGTCCCTCAGTGAGAAACCCTCAACAGCAACCTCTGAACAAAAAAAAACTCTGAACCCTCCATTTTAAACAATAAACACCCATGCGCGTATAAGCAGGAAACCGATAAAGGGAAGCTGTGGAATTTTTGCTCGCAGCTCAAAATGTTTTGCCCCTCGCTAGGAATCTCAGCAGGACAAGCAAATGGGCACCAGGAATGCATTACAGTTGCTTTTTATAAGCTTGGTTTTAGCCACCATGCTAACATGACCATAGGCAGAATCAATCCCAATTATCGAACTGAAATGCACTTCCACCCAATCTACCTGCAATCCCGCAAGAACCAGTTCATCTCCATTAGGGACAATAACTTGATGTTTTTAGTCCTCGCAGCTCCATGGGCAAACGTTCCAGAGCTGGTGACACCTGTTAAAACCAACCAGCCTCTTCTTAAGGAAACCGGTATCTGCTGAAGAGAGGGAAAAACATTGTGACAAACAAGAATGGTCCTCCTGCAGTTGCTAACAGTGCCTCAAACCCCATTTCCTCAGGTCAGTAAATCTCACTCTAACAGACTGACTGGAAAATTCCTCACAGAGTGGCCAGAACAAGGGTAAAACATCTCAACTGAGGAAAGAGTCATTACAACTTTTAGCCTATTACTCACGTGATGAACATGTGAAGTCCAAGCTATCTAACCGACCAGCATATTACTCTAACTCTCTTCAAGGAAAATCAATTAGCTTTTCTTTGAAGATGCTGAGGCTCATCTGATTGGATGTTTCTTGGTTGTAAGTATGCGATTTAAATGTTTTTGCTTCAGATCTACAAAATTTCTACACAATCAGTTTCTAAATAGCAGGAAACTGGAGTTTGTGTGTTCTGTAAATGTCTTGGAATGGAGTATTTGGGGAGTACGAGCATCCTGCTTACTTTACAAGAGGCTCTTTTCAACACAGCGAAGAACTTTAGCAGGGAAAAGGGAAGTCCCAAGAGGAAATACAGCATGCTGTCTAAGCTTATAAATAGCTAATTAGTGACCAAAAAGCTACCTGAAACCTTTTGGATAAACGCCAGTGCATCTCCAGAAATTTTGCTCGTGAAAGTGAAAACACAAATCTGCACCTCCTGATTTGCATGTGTATCTTAGCAATCAAAAGCGAATCTATAAGCTAACACAGAAAATAGACGAATGTGAAAAGCATGCACCTCCGTCTTTACATTCTCTGGTCTGCCTTCAAATGCAGTACTGCTGGATTTGGCAGTCCTAAAGACAATATTGAGTAGTACGGTTGTCCAAATTTCTCATTATTGCAGTTTATCATTCGTGATCCTAACTTCACTACTGAAAGAAAACTATGGCAGTGAGTCCACGTTACCCTGAAAGCCCATAGGACACTGGTGTTTGTGCCTCTAGTTATCCAGCTGGCCATTGCCGGTCAGACAAATACAGCAGAAAATAAAAATCAATTGTACACATAAAGTGCACATTATTGATCGGTAGAAATGAAAAGGTCTTGATTTTTGGAGAATATTTCCACGATTGAATGACTTCTGTGGTGTTTGACCCTGAGATAAAAAAAACCCATAATATAGTTGGTAAAGTTTGGGGGATGTTTTGCAGCAAACCCACCACTGAGGAAAAGCCAGTGAGGTAGCTTCTAGACCTGGAAGAAAAACTAGTATTTTCTCCTTACATCATGAAGTATTTTGTTACTAAACACTGAATGTTGGTATGACAGTTTGTGTAAATAGTCACATCCACAAAATATCTGGAGTAAGGTACAGAGCAGCATCGGCGCTATAAAACTGTCATTGGCGCTCAAATTTATTTTCCCTCTCGACTTGTCAAGTTGTCATTTGACTGAAATACCATTGTAAATGAGATAATGCATCCCGGAACATTATATGCAGATTGCTAAATGTTCGTCTTAACATTTATCTTTTATAGAAAACGCAGATCCCCAGCCACTGTAGTTCAGTCTCACTGAACACTTCGGATTTTCAAACAAAGTTTCAGCATCTTTGCAGGAGGCAGGGTGCGTGTGTGTGGGGGGGTGTGTGTGTGTGTGTGTGTGAGGAAATCCGTGGACCACTTCAATGGACTTAGAAGTTTTTTTCATCAATAGCAGAAAACTGTGTAGAAACCTACTTTAAGTACTCAATAGAAGAGACGTATGTTTAGAAACCCGCTTTAAGTACTTAATAGAAATGGCTGGCTGTAGACTGGTAGCTTGCCAAAAATGATCAAATACTTCCAGGCAAGCTGTCATTTAACTATGAAATTGGACATGACCTATTGACTGATCCTCAGCAGCAAAATTAAAAGATAATGATTACCTTTTCAGAGTTGTCAGCGGAGGAAGATTATTTATCCTATACAGGACACTTGGATCAGTGATACACTTCTGCAGGGTGCTGTGGAAAATAACCTAGAAGAGCAGTATAGTGCTAGATACACTTCTTAACTCATATTGATCCTGGCAGTGTTAATACTAGGCATGCCGAGCAAGGCCGTATCCTTGGCGATTGTGCTCTAAGGAAAATAAATGAGAAGTGCAGAATCACAGAATATAAGGACAGATGCTGTCTATGAAGAGGGAGGGAGTTTGGAGGGCCGAAAAATACTAGAATTGAGTTTTTACATCAGGACTGTGGTGCTAAGCCATTCCAGGAGAACGGACTGTCTCCAGAAATTTACAACGGTAGTATTTGGGAGGATTTACCTCCTTTGCTTTTGCATAGGCAAGCCAAGCGTTTGCTGCTGCTGAGATATGTAAACTAAAAATCAGTCCAAAAGTTTTCTTTTATTCAGTTTTCTGAGGCCGAGATCATTCTTAAAATTTGGAAGGTGCTGGAGAGGTGAAAGGGAAGAGAATCTGAAGGAAGGTAGAGCTGCAGATTTTTCATTTCTAGCTTTTTAAAATGAGATTCTTTCACTAGTCGTAGTTAAATTATGCTTGGAGCGGTAGCACACTGAACAACAGATTGATTTTCTCCTCCCTCTGTCCCTAGCAAATATAAACTCAATGTGCAAAGCTTGCACTCCATCGCTCGCTCCTGTAGCGAAATAAACTGCTTATAATGTGAAATTTATTCACAGGGATGGAAGATGGCAGGGGTTGTAACTTTTTATCGGACGCCACAAGATCTTTAATTTTACACATTTTTGTAAAGAAAGGTATGTTTTATTTTTAATTTGCCATTTATTTTTACTTTGTTTATCTTTAAAAAATGTCTAACTTGCCTATTTGTATACCAATTTGCAAGAATATTTTCATGTTTAGTAGGCTACCCAAACATAAAGTTTCCTCTATAGTCATCGGTATTGTGGCCGTAAGACTGCAACTTCCATTTGATTTCTTAACACTCCTGTTTTACAGGGTGAAAATGAATCTCACTCGAACAGAAAACACTGTGCTAAACCACCTTTATCCTAAAAAAAACCCTCAGATTATTCTGTTTTTAGTATAACTGAATTCTATTGAACTGTACCGTGCATATGATGAAAAGGTAAATCTACAGAGGTACTGGCTATCCCTGCACATAAAAAAGAAAAAAAAATTGTTAGTGTATACAATAACATAAACACTGAAAAGGAATTTAAAATCTCATCCGCAATGTAGTATCCTGTAATGGTGAAAGAAACAAACATATGAAATAAAGGTGAGATGTGCAATTACACACATATATTACCAGTTTATCTGTACTCAGATTATAATTTAGGAAAATGCTGGTAGAGAATTTTTGCATAAATCATTTCTTTTTCACAGAATCGGGGCCAAAGATAGCAATGCTTGACACTTAGGCACTCTATTCTGTATTTCAAAGCAGAGGAAACGGGACTGATTACAGTGATTCTATTTATTTGTTTATCATTGACATCTGCAAACAAAAAGCAATTGTCTGTGCCAAATTATATTCTTAAATATATTTTTTTTATTTTAACAATGCAATTTTAGTGAGAAGTTTTATTCCTTCTCGAGTTCCTTTGTCTAACAAATTTTCACTGCAAAGCAGTAATTGGATATTACCTTAACTTCAGCTGTGACATGGGGCTCGGAACATCCGAAAAGGATGACCAGGAAATACTCCTTTACCTTCGTAAGCGTCCTGAATATAAACGTAACACTCTCACACTGCCATTGGATGATGGTTCAAACGGACCACATAATGCTCTTAAAATCCTACTACAAGTCAGGCACCTTAGTTCCCACTGATTTGATGCAGACTGAGGGTGCTTCATATCTCATAGTGATGTGCTTATCAGGATGTCTTTTACCAATAGATTAGACACGGGCGGATGATGCACTTCTCCATCTCATAGATGAGAGAGAATAACGCGTAGATTATCAAGGAGCAGCGGGTCATGTTGCCATGGTTACAAGGTGAGATACAATGGGTTTTCCCAGTGTCATTTTTCTCATAATGCATTAAGGAAGGACTGTGGCTTTTACAACATTTGATACTTCTTTCTCTCATACATTTTAGTGTTAAGGTGGCAGAATAACCATGGGAGACTGGAATTTCCTTGGAGGCATTTTAGAGGAGGTCCACATTCATTCCACTATTATTGGAAAGATTTGGCTAACGATCCTCTTCATATTTCGAATGCTCGTCCTCGGAGTGGCAACTGAGGATGTTTGGAATGATGAACAATCAGAATTTATATGCAATACTGAGCAACCTGGGTGCAGAAATGTGTGCTATGATGAGGCCTTTCCCATCTCTCTCATAAGATACTGGGTCTTGCAAGTTATATTTGTGTCTTCCCCTTCCTTGGTGTATATGGGTCATGCCTTATACAGACTAAGAGCCTTGGAAAAAGAGAGGCAAAAAAAGAAAGCTCAGGTAAGAGTGGAACTCGAAAGCACTGAATTAGAAATGACTGAAAATCGGAAAAGGCTGGAGAGAGAACTCCGGCAATTGGATCAAAGAAAGCTAAACAAAGCACCCCTGCGAGGATCTCTGCTCTGCACTTACGTGATACATATTTTCACAAGATCTGCAGTGGAAGTTGGTTTTATGATTGGGCAGTATCTTCTTTATGGCTTTCATCTAGATCCCCTTTATAAATGTCAGAGAGATCCATGTCCAAACACAGTTGACTGCTTTGTATCTAGACCAACAGAAAAGACAGTTTTCATATTATTCATGCAATCAATAGCGACTGTATCATTGCTTTTAAATATCCTAGAAATTATCCACCTAGGATTCCGAAAAATTAAAATGGGACTCTGTGGGCGGAATAAAAACAAGGATGACCCCGGCAATTTCTACGTAAACAAATCTAAGAAATACTCTGTGACACCACACTCTTCTTTGGGAATATCCACCACCCCTCAAAAAACTCTTCCTTCTGCACTTAGCGGATATACCTTTTTAGTGGAAAAGCAGACTGACACTGCCATCTACCCGGTTCTAAATTCTCCTCCCATGTTTCAGTCTGTGCAAAATAACCGTACAGAAAGCAGCAGCAATTACACCCATCGCAATCGGGAAAGTAAATCACCAAAGAAGAGGCCAGCTACAAATGCCTTAGACAATCAGATTCAAAATACCAGCGCAAATAATAGCGAAGGCTTGCTTGGCAAGCTTGGGACTGAAGCTCATGATGCTCAGAAAGAAACCGAAAAGAAACATTTTCTTGTTGGTACTCAGAATGCAGATATAGCTTCAAGCACGTGCTTGAGAAGCTTTGCTGAAATGCCATGTCAAACTTCACTGCAACCCGATACAACTTTTCCTATTGCTGGTTTCAGAAGACAACATGGAATCGATTTGTCTTGGAACTGCTCGGCAATGATTGAGAGTGCAGGAATTTCAACAAATTCTCTTCCAAAGAACAGCAACAGAAGACACAGCAGTTTCAGTGCAAACCAAGCCCAACATCCTTACAATGCTGATGTAAAAACCTCTGGCCGACCAGACACTCCTGACTCTACAGGGGAGGTGAGCTCAGAATCTAGACAAAGTAGAAACTGTGATAGTCCTAAGCCTTTCTCTCTCTCTCGGCGACCGTCACTGTCAAGTAATGCCAGCAGCAGGCGTGTCCCCACTGATCTTCAGATATAGTGTGAGTTAACTCGTGAATCGTGCTAATCAATGCTGGGATAATTATGGAACATTGTGACATAAGCAAGACCTATGTATAAGAGTAGCTAAATCATTCAACTTTAATTAGCTGTTTCACCTAGAAATGTTGTGTAGCTCTTTGAGTATTAGCTAAGTAACTTTTAAACAGTCTCTTTACTTCCTTTGTAATGAAAGGGTGGCTTAGATCTCAGCATATAAACTTCTACACTTCCCTCCAGGTAAAAAGGAAAACATACGTCACGTAAGTCCACGGGAAAAGTCAGGCATAAAATCACAGCTGATACTATTTAAATGGAATAAAACTAGAAGACAAAATTTGAAGTCTAACAATATATTTTACCAAGACCGGTACATGAAATTATGCTAAAGATGGCACTGGCGCTCTCAGGAGAAATTAATTATTGGTAAATATGCTTCTGCTTAATCTCTCTGAGAATTCAAACAGACGTTTGATTGTTGCCTGAAGGCAGAATGTCAAGCGTATTCTGCTGTTTGAACTGTGTTAAATACAAAAAGAGCAAAACATTTGATACATGTATCACTAATTCCTTGACTCCAGGGTACGCTTTTTTTCAGTGTATCACTACTGACTTCCTCAGCAGAAAAAAACAGAATGAATCTCTTATCGTATACTATTATTGTTAAATACACTATTATATTTTTTAAGCATCATGAGTTACAAATGAGTTGTGAGGTTTAGTTCTGAGATTGTGCATAACACTAATAAGCTGGCAGGTTTTTTTGTAATCAGAAAACAAGTTACTGAAATTTATTAGTCAGAAGATTTGAATTTCACAAACCAGAAGGCTTACTATTGTTAAAAAAAGGGGG